ATCCAGGAGCACTATTGGGTGTGGCCCACTCCAGCCCCCAATTCCCAACCCCACTGTGTGGGGCAGTCACCTGCACAGTAAAAACAAACATCTAAATACTTCTTGCCATGCCAAATAGTCTACATAAAACATGAACTTCAGTATTTCCTGAAATTCCTTTACTCCTACTGCTAAAGAAACACAAGTTCTCTCAATATAGCATCTGTCTGTTCTACCTCCAAAATAACAATAGACTTCGTCTGTGAACACAGACCAAAATCTCTGAGGAACAACTGCCAAGTTCTACACACACTAAATTTCTCAATAAAATTTACAACAGAGACCCAAACTAATTTGTCCAAAACTGTTAAAATAAGGATTAGAATATGGCAAAGTAAACGATTATTAAAGAAAAATTTTGTTGTGGTGACTGTTTTGGTTTTGGGGCCACACCCAGCAATGTTCAGGACCATTTGAGGCCATGGATCACATGACCATGTGAGGCCATGGACCTCCATAGCCTCCAGATCTAGAGCAAGATTTTGTTAAAAATAAAAACAATTGGGTCAAAAGAATATATACTTAATCACTTTCCTCCCTTGCTTAATATTGTCCAGTCTGAAGAAAGTTTAGTGCTCAAAGGCTGGGAGCAGTTTGAGCTTTACTGGTTATGGTACCAAAAAAAGGTCAATCTTAAATTGATGCTGTTTTCTCTTAATAGGCAGTAGATACTAATGGTCACCCAACAAACAAAGCAGCTTTCAACAATGTGGGTATTTCATGTTTTTTTAACTATTACATATATAATAGAACATTCTGTAGAGTCCTATCTCTGGCCTCTTTAAGTTTATTGTTTGTTTTTGGATCACCTCCAACAAAACTCAGGGACTATTCCTGACTCTTAAACTCAGCACTCACTTTATGCCTGCTTTGGAAATCATATGTCGTGCTGGGTATTGAAGCTGAGTCAGTTTCTTACCTTTCACTCTCCTTACTTGTACTTGCTGCTCTAACGTTTTGGTTGGTTTTATGCGGGAGGGAGGGGTGGTAGTTGGGTCACACCAGTGAGTGCCAAAGTGCTCCTAACTCTGATCCGAGGGCCATATGTGGCACTAGGTATGGACCTGGATTAGTCTTGTGTAAGGCAAGTGCCCTATTCACCTAGTCTCTGGTTGGTTTATTTAATTCTTGTAAAGAAGAAGTTTTATTTTGGAGTTAGGGGGCTATTTAAATTATCTTCCACTGTTCATACATTTTTTTCCTATTACCCCATTTACTACATTGTTTTTGCCAGTTTAATGGTGACAAAACTGGGGCTGGAGTGATAGTACAGCGAGTAGGGAGTTTGCCTTGCATGCAGTCAACCTGGGTTCGATTCCCAGCATCCCCTGAACACTACCAGGAGTAATTCCTGAGTGCAGAGCCAGGAGTAACCCCTGTGCTTTGCTGGATGTGACCCGAAAGGCCAAAAAAATGGTGAAAAAACTGTGTATAGGGTCAGTGACTGCCCTCTTCCAGGCGGGGCCCCACATGTGTGCTCAGGAATTATCCTGATGATGTTTGAGGGGCTATCTGGGGTGTCAGGAATTGAACCTAGGTTGGCATCCCACCCAGGGACGCCAGTTGTGTAAACACACAAAAAATAAAAAGGCCGGCGATCTGCCGTTTCCCCACTCCAGGGAGGACGATGGCGATGGTCAGGCGAAGGAAGGAAACGAGGCCAAGCTAGTTGGTCTTAGTAGCCGTTTATTACATGGAAGAGATGTATGTCATGGAGGCCTCAGGAATCCTCGAGCACGTGCGCCTTTGTTCTCTCAGCTTCTGTCCTCAGCCCCATCTTCCCAGGTTCTCTGATGCACGTGTCCCCCCAGAGAGCCCTGAAATCTCCCTTATATAGATCATAGTACCTCTGAAGGGCGCAATATAGTGATGTCATCAAAAGGAGTTACAGAAAGAACACTGAGGTGGCAAAAATACATTGTTTCCTTACATCCGCAGGCCAGTAATCCTGGCCTCACCTTTTCACAAACTATAAGCACTTAGATTAGCACAACAAAGACCAGTCTGCTAGAGCTTGGAATCTACATCTCCAAAAAAGCAGTCTCTTCCAAGCTAGTCAGGACACACAGAAAACTGCTTCTAGGACGTGTTTCTCCTCTCCTTGTCCAAACAACATATAAGCATACATAATATTAATCATTTCGTATGGACACAGTAAGAAATACTTTGAGCTTATAGAATTGCTCTCCTAGGGCCATCTCGATCTCAGACTGCAGTGCTCAGGCCAGATATCTTTCCTATTCCTAGCAGCAGGGCCCTAGTCTCGTCGTTACTTTTGGATCATGACATCATTTGCCTATGATCAAACTCTTAACTTATAGTTAAGAATCGTGGCACCTTGGCCTGGCCCATCGCGATGCCAGGGTAGCACATAACTTACCGGCTTGCCCTGGTTCCATCCAGTCCCACGTCGGGACCCTGCCCTTGGAATGCTAGGAAGTGAGGGCACCTGAGGCTTAAGTTGAGAAGGCAGATGCCCAGGAGTGAATAATATTCAAAGCCAATCAATTCCTAAGTTATAAAGCATAATATTAATTAATTGTCTTCCTGTATCTATACAAAAGGATATTGCATTAAAGTAAACTGCTCAAAGACATAAGGAGAGGAGAAAGGCAATATTGACTTACAGTACAGCTTCAGTGTCTAAGAAGGATGAGACCTTACAAATTGGTTGGGGAAGAGAGCATAGAAGAGGTTACAGACAGACAAAGTAATGGGAGTGACTCGGGAGCACTGTGATGGGCACAATCTGATAAACCTAAGCTCCGTGTACTCCAACAAACAAGAGGAGGAGAAATGTGTTCAGCCTAGTTAACTCACATGGGCCTTTAAACTTCTAAAATTTGCTTTCATCTATACTTTCTTTTAAAAATATTTCACTTATAAAATGAGCCAACGTGGCCCAGAAATGGACCTTAAAAATAAAAACCAAAATGGTTGTCATGTTGGGAAGCTTGGTTGATGTTAGCTGCATGAATTAATTGCCAGTGGTTTTGAACAAAAAGTGTTTTTCTGAGAAAAATGCTTGGGAAGATATAAAAGAATGCAAAAAAGTTGTTATTTCCTTTACATAATTTAATAATTTGTATTTATATTTCTAACATAAGGAATACTTCCATCAGTGAAACTTGGCTTCACCTCATCTTTTTTTTTATATATTTTTTATTTATTTGTTGAATCACCGTGACAACAGTAACAAAGCCTTTCAGTTCAAGTCTCAGTCGGTCATACAATGATCAAACACCCGTCCCTTCACCAGTGCACATTTTCCATCACCAAGAACCCCAGTATGCCCCCCCTCCCACCCACCTCCCACCTGTGTGGCAGATTTCCACTTTGCTCTCTCTCTCTCTCTCTGTTGATCATATTCAATATTATGACAAAAGACCCACCTCTGTTATTTGGAATTTTCCCCAACATTCAGATCTGGCTGTTCATTAGGCTCTAAAAAATGCAGGACATCATGTCGCCGCCACAGAGTGGGACATGTGGAGGGACAGACACCCTTCTGCTCCCAGGGTGACATAGCACAATAGTTAAATACACAGTCCAGATGCATTTTGGTTGGGCATTATCTTTTGCTCAGATTTTCCCACCACCATTCAAGCCTGATTTTCAGGGAGAAATGTTGGATGATTTACTTTCCATTGATCACTTTGCATATAAGGAAATGTCGTGTGGCCACATAAGCAGCCACACGGTTCAGAAAAACTGTCCTGCTACCCGCATGCCAGAGCCATGCTTGTAGAAGCTCGTGGTCACCGGGATTCCATCTGGAGAAGGTGGGAAGGCAGAACCTACCCCATCTGGGACCGCCCGGTGATATCGGTGTGGCCTCATCTTTCACAAAGACTAGCACAACTTCAATAACTTTTTAAGAATTAAATCCTGCAATGTGAACTCTTTTTTTCTCATTATTTAATAATGACATAGTAATGTCCTAGTTAATATTTTAAAGGTTATTTATTCCCTCCTCAGAGGATATAATTTTGCATATTGTTATTTTTATCATCAAGCAACTGAATTGTATTATCAGGTTAACTTTCTTTTTTTTTTTAATCAGAGATGAAGCAGGCACCTTCTTTTTTATTTTTTTAATTAATTTTTATTAGTGAAACACCATGAGGTACAGTTGTAGACTTACAGATTTTCGTGCTTGGGTTTCCATTATACAATGATCAAATACCCATCCCTAAGGTTAACTTTCTTATTTAAAAAAAACTATTTAAAAATAACTGCTTCCCATGAGTGATGAGAGTAGACTATAGTCTGAACAAGATTGCCACTCAATATCTCTTTCGCAAACCACAGCACTCAAAAGGAGAGAGACAACAAAAGGGAATGCCCTGCCACAGTGGTAGAGTAAGACGGGGGAGGGGGGGAGAGAGGTGGGAGGTATACTGGGACTGGTGGTGGTGGAGAATGGGCACTGGTGGAGGGATGGGTATCAGTTCATTGTATAACTGAAACCCAAGCACAAAAATTTGTAAGTCTACAACTGTACCTCATGGTGTTTCACTAATAAAAATTTAAGGAAAAAAAATAACTGCTTCCCAGGAATTTTGAAAATAGTTTTAAAAACTGATTTGCAAAAGAAAGGAAGAAATATGAACCCTTGATGTAAAAATGGGAAGAATATTTATTTTTTAGAATTCAGACAGAACGTATCAGCATATTTCCTGCCCCACCCTCATATGTTTGGCCAAAATATAAGCTCTCCAGGGGTAGAATTTTTTTCAAAGTTTTGGGCTGTATGTATCTGTACTCGGAGCTGGTCCTCGCATGCTTGGAGGACCATCTGGTGCCAGAGGTTGAACCAGGGCCTCCCTCATGCAAACCATGCACTTCAGTTTTTTGAACTATCTCCTTAGCCTGAGAACTTGGTTTTTAGTTATCTTTAAGTCTTAAAAACAGTAGAGTACTAACTAAAAACATTTTTTTATGTAATGCCTATTTTACAGTGCGAGGAGTTTTACTTTCTCAAACTGAAAATCTAGTTTGGAACAACGACAGTTCAAGACCTCAGGCAACTCTATCATCTACTGTGGTAAGAACGTTTCTGTATTTTACATCTAGGAGTAGGCCTTTAACATTCTTTTCTGAAAAAAGAGCTGCTTTGGTAAGGAACATCAGTTATGCTTAGCATCATGCATTTTCTGAGCTGTTCTAATGTTGAGTATTCTCTTATATTATCTTTGGAACATTATTTATGGTTGTCAGCTCATGGGCCTTGAGAAAGTTTAAGCCTTTTACATTGGCTTGAAGAAGTCTATACATTTGCTTTTGCCAAACTCCACCCATGGTAGAAAACTTACTTAAGTTTCATACTTATTTGGGGATAAGTAAGCTGTAAGTTTATTCTTAACTATTCTCTAAAAGATACCTGGGAAATATTTTATTGCTAAGAGTATAATTGATAAAAATATGGACCATATTTTTTTTCAATGATAGTATTAAAGAAAAAGCTTAGAATCCAAGGTAAAGAATAATATGTGTTTGTGTGGAAAAGAGAGAACGAAGATTAAAAATACTATCAGCAGACAAATGACAGTCTAATTAAGTCCTTATTTTAAACTGGTTTGAAAACATTCTTATACAGACAAAAATAGCATGAAATGAACTTTTCTTGTTATTATCACCCACAGCCCTTAAGTACTCTCCTATTCCCTCCAAACCTCTGCTTTCACATTCACCTTAGGAGAAATCCAGTAGAAAATAGTGATGTCCTTTCTTTAGAATAACAATAACAATCACAACCATGACCCCTAGAAACATACTTATCTATAATGAGTACACAAATCTGCCACAAAGACACAAGAGAAGTCTTGTTTTCTGCATTCCCATTCTTCTATTCTCTTTCCCCCAAATGAATTTTATTAAAGCACTATGAATTTTAAAGTTATTCATAGTTGAGTATTTGACATGCAATGTTCCATCACCAATCCCGCCACCAGTGTTAATGTCCCTTCACCAGTGTTCCCAGGTTGTCTCTCTTACCCTCACCACCACCCTCACTCCTAGTTCCAGCCTGTCTTCCTGATAGACAACTTTTGAATTTGTTTTTAAAGTTTGGGTCTTATGATTTCAGTGTTGTTGACTGTGGTTTAAGGATATTTAGCCATATATCCTTAACACATATATCCTTAGCACAGATGTACCTGAACCCCTTGACTGTGCCCCTACTGCTTCTTGTCTGTCTCTTCTTCACTCGATTTCGTTCCTTCTCCTCTATATATTCTGGGCCCAAGAGATGATCTAGGCATACCCCCATTTAAACCATTGTATTTACTCATTAATTTTCTCTAAATACCACATATCTCTGCCCCTGAGCACCACAGAGATGGGTCTCCCCAAACAATTTTTTAAGAGAATCTGCTGCTTCTTTTGAAAACCAAATAGATCTTTATCATTAAGTTCACATTACCTTGATGCAGAAAGTGGTTACACTTGGCTTAATGGGGCTACCCATTTAATGAGGGCAAGCTTGTCTAACTGAGCTCTCTTGTTTGTTTATATTGCCAATTCTATTTGCATTTAAGTTTACTCCTTAGTTTCTGAATAGTGATAATCACAATGTATTGGCAATTTCAGGAGACATTGGAATGCTAATGAATGATAAGATGTGAAAAACCATATCACTATAATGGTTTTATTTCTTCTTCCTCCTCCTTTCCCTCCTCTTCTTCCTCAAACAAATTTAAGATTTTGTTCTTTCATAGAAATGAGATTTTAAAAAAATAGTCTTTATTAGAAATTATTTTAAAGGTAGGAATTTTTGGATATTGAATCAGACATCATTAAGTATCCTGACTGGAAAAATCATTGGTCGCTCAGTGGACTTTCTGTAATACTTAGAATACTTTTCAGTTGGCATAGCAGAATTGAATCTGCTGAATATGATATTGACTTGTTAATGTACTACATAAGCTAAAAGAAGAATTGAGAAGTTGAATTTGTTTTAGAGGAAATGCCTAATTCATATAAAAATAAATTGAACGTTATTCCTGAAACATATGTATTCATCTTTCAAAACGTATGAGAAATCCTTATTGCTCTCTTATTTTCTTAGGGGGTATACTTATTTGAAATGAATGGTATTTCTTCTTTATTTAAAAGGTCTGTGATCACTTTTATTTCTTTTTAAAAATCTGTGATAAGATTTAGTCCCTTTTCCTTTGCAGGATAATACCTTTGCTGTGGAATGGCCCTCCACAGATGAATCCATCACCAACAGGATTTCACTTCTTGATTTCATCTCTCATCCTCCCACTGGTAGTGAGCTCCCCTCTGAAAGTGCTTTCAGTGATCAGGTGGTGGCTGCATCCAAATTAGCTTTTCCCATGGCAGTGGAGCTCGGTTCTTCTCCAGAGATGCTCAAGGCCAGCAACTTGACTCTCCATTCTGCCACCCCAGCAGTGCCTCAGTCTGGTTTGACTGTAGCTTCTGAAGAAAGAGCTTCTGAATCTTACTTATTAGAAGATGGTAAGAAATGTGAATTGCTTTTTAAACTTCTTTTTTCTATTGTACCATATGCAAGGGTTTGGAAGAGAGAAAGAAGCTAGGTTTAATAGAAGAAGATAGTAGCATGTATTTTTTTAAACCTATCTATCTATGCCTTCGCTCCAGCACAGCGGTAGGGCATTTGCCTTGCACGCAGCCAACATGGCCGACCCGAGTTCGATTCCTCCGCCCCTCTCGGAGAGCCCGGCAAGCTACCGAGAGTATCTCTCCCGCTCGGCAGAGTCTGGCAAGCTACCCGTGATGTATTCAATATACCAAACACAGTAACAATAAGTCTCACGATTGGAGACATTACTGGGCCTGCTCGAGCAAATCGATGAACAATGGGAGGACTGTGACTATGATGTTTTAGGAAAGTTGTGGAGAAAGGGGCTAATCATTTTATTGGTGGGTGAAAGAGACTAAGTAGGTGAATAATGAACTTGGTGGAGACTGGGGTGGAAATCTATTAATATATATTATTTTACTAAAGATTATGTAATACAAGTTACTATTAAAGAACTACTTTATTTGGCTATAGAGTGGTAAGTAAAAGAATATCCCAGTGGTTTTAATGATATATGTATGTATATGGGCTGGAGCCATAGCACAGCGGGTAGGGCATTTGCCTTGCATGCGGCCGACCCGGGTTCAATTCTTCCACCCCTCTCAGAGAGCCTGGCAAGCTACCGAGAATATCCTGCCCGCACGGCAGAGCCTGGCAAGCTCCCCGTGGCGTATTCAATATGCCAAAAAGAGTAACAACAAGTCTCACAATGGAGACATTACTGGTGCCCGCTCAAGCAAATTGATGAACAATGGAGGACAGTGCTACAGTGCTATGTATATATAACTATATACATACATGTATATGGTTATAACTTTATACATACATGTAGCACTGTAGCACTGTCCTCCCATTGTTCATTGATTTGCTTAAGCAGGCACCAGTAACATCTCAGAACAAATTGTAAGATTTGTTATTACTGTTTTTGGCATATAGAATATACCACGGGGAGCTTGTCAGGCTCTGCTGTGCGGGCGGGATGTTCTTGGTAGCTTGCCGAGCTCTCCAAGAGGGGTGGAAGAATTGAACCCGGGTCAGCCGCATGCAAGGCAAATGCCCTACCTGCTGTGCTATGGCTCCAGCCCGTCTATCTAGTGAGTGGTTGCAAGGTCAACCTAAAGTCAACCTGCCGCACTATCTATCTTAGTATGAAAGCCAAATATTCCTCCCAATTTCCTGTTTTATCTTCTATTTCTTTTTCATAATTCTTGAGATGAAACTCTTCTGCCAGAATAGTTTAAACTTTAAATTCCTTTTTATCACAAATACATATTTTGTTTTCTGGATATGCTCAATTCAAAAGGCATTCAAAACTTTTAACACTTTATATATTAACTTCCTGACTTCAAAACTGAAATCAGAAGGCCGAGAAAGGGCGGACGGAGAAAAGAAAAAAAAAAAGAAGGTGGGAGGAGGCAATTTCCTCTCTTCCCCTGCAAGATCACCAAAGCCTAAAAAGGGCTGGTTTCAGTTGCTTCAGACTATCAGTCTGATATCTGAGGTCAATCTGTCATAAGACGATTGCTAATTAGCTCTAGAAATTTTAGCTTCCAAAAGCCTCAGATCAAATAAAACACTGGTAGGATAAGTTTTGCAATCGATTTATAACTCTATAAACTTATGTATATAGAGTTATATATACATATATGCATATGTTTTGTGTGTTTGTGCTGTTTGGGATAAAACCCAGGGTCTCATATGTGTGAGACATGTGCTCTACCACTAAGCTATATCCTTGGTTCCTACAATTGTTTTTATACACTTATTTATGTTTATTTTGGGGCTACCTATTGCAGTGCTCAGTGTTTTTTCCTGGCTGTGTGCTCAGGGATCATACCTAGTGGTGCTTTGGAGATCATATGCTGTGTCATAGATTAAACTAGGGATTGGCCTCATGCCATGAAAATGCCTTACCTCTATTCTCTCTCTCTCTCTCTGGATCCTCTTCTAGTACTTTTAATAGAGATTTTTTTCTTTTTGGGTCACATCCGGCAAGGCATAGGGGCTACTCCTGGCTTTGCACTCAGGAATTACTCCTGGCGGTGCCCAGGGGACCATATGGGATGCTGGGATTTGAACCTGGGTTGGCCGCATGAAAGGCAAACACCCTACCCGCAGTACTATCACTCTAGCCCCTTAACAGAGATTTTTTTTGGCTTTTTGGGTCACACCTGGCAATGCACAGGGGTTACTCCTGGCTCTGCACTCAGGAATTACCCCCGGTGATGCTCAGGGGACCATATGGGATGCTGGGAATCGAACCCGGGTCGGCAGCGTGCAAGGCAAACGCCCTGCCCGCTGTGCTATTACTCCAGCCCCTTAACAGAGATTTTTAACCTTACATTAGGTTTAAGAAGAAAGTTCCTAAAACATAGCAATTGCAGCAGAGAAATAGAAACTAAGAAATGTTTTCATTAAGAAATGAAAATGAAGTGGATAGTTTAGATGTCATAGTCACAAAAATCAATGTGACTTAAGGATGGAGAATACGTGTGAAAGGTAAAGAAAGGTTTAAATAGTAAATGCAGAATACTGAACTTTGGGTGAACCTGGAGGATGATGTACCCACATAACAAGGAAATGGGAGTTCAAAGATGAAAATTTTCCAGGGATTTTTTTTCCCTTTAAGTTTTGACACCACTCAGACTTTGTTTACTACCAGAAGTTCTTTATTTTCATGAAGCATGATAAGCAAGTGTTTGGAGATGAATATTTAAATAACCAAAGTCTTGTTATACCAGAGAAAGAGTGTGGATATATGAAGGTTCATGCTACATTAAGAAAATGTTATCAGATCTTCAATTTGCTGACTACATATAGCAAAGTAAAAGTTAGCAACTACTTCTCTTAATTTAAATGTGAAGAATAAATAGGTAGCTGACTTTGCTAGGATAATTAGGAATGTATTTTGATAACTTTGTAGATTAACTAGTTGAAAACTTTATTTTTAGGATTAATCCAAGTTGAAGAGCCAGACGGTTTTCTTTCCTTTGATCCATTGCCTTCAAGTTCATTAACTCATCCTGTATCAGAAGAAACTGTACCACCTGTGGAAGACATTGGGGCATCTATGACATCCTCTGCCACATTAAGTCTTCTTGATAAAGAACTAACTCAACCATTTGATTTGAACTTGTTGGCCTCCAAAGTTAAAGACCAAGTAGAAGGGAGTTCCTTGATGCCAGATATATCTATGGAAAAAGAGTTTATATTTGAAAGTGGCTTAGGTTCAGGGTCTGGGGAAAAGGTAGATATAAGTACTTGGCCATGGAACAAGATTTCAATGGAGAAGAGCACTGAACCACTGACCAAGTCGTGGCTGGAAGAAGATAATTCACTTTTGTCTTCTGAGGGTATAGACAAGAAGCTAGTTATAACTGATAAAATTGATTCTGCAGGTCAGAGTATTGAGCATTCCAGATATGAGCTTTTTGATAAATCTAAGAGCTTTTCAGAAGGAGAACTCATTGGTGGACCCACTGTGTCCTTTGTTTCAGAGACCCCAGCTCAATCTGCACCTCTAATTCTCTCTACGCATATAGCAGGAGTACCTGATATTGATTATTATTCAGTTACCAGCATGCCTCTTCCACTGACATTTCCAGCAATGTCAGCTTCTGCAGAAAAACAAGGTCATGTAGATCCCTTCCCAAAGGAGGATATAAAACAAACTACAGAGGCATCCAGCCAAGATTGGTTTGACAGCATAGTTTCAATAGAAAAGCCATATATGCATCCTTTGCGGGCCACCTTGCCAGAATCTTCCCTAGAGAAATTGTCTAGTGACACATTGGCAAGTACACCACAGAGTACTGACAAGCTTTGGTTGGAAGCTTCTATTGTACAGTCTACCAAAGTGTCTCCAGTCACAAGTTCCAGTCTGTTGGAGGATGAAGTAATCATGGGTGTACAAGATATTTCATTAGAACTAGATCGCATTGGCACAGATTACTATCAGCCTGACCTAAGCACAGAGGAAAATGGCAAGGTTGGTAGTTACATGGAAATATCTACAAATGTTCACTCCACAGAGACTGCTATTGTGACTTGGCCCACAAAAGTAAATGACTCAAGTCATGCTCAGACTGCAGGAGCTTTGGTGGTTTTCTTTAGTCTGCGAGTAACGAACATGATGTTTTCAGAAGATTTGTTTAATAAAAACTCTTTGGAGTATAAAGCCCTGGAGCAAAGATTCTTAGAATTGGTAAGCACAGGATGTTAAACATGGATGTTAGTAGATGGTAATGTCTGACATCTTCCCACCACCCCATCCCCAAACATACAAGATCTCAGGTAAGGAAAGTGTGCACAATCTGTGAACATTCATTTCCTGCGGTGTAGAAATGGAGCTATGGTCTAGGGTTGGTAGGAAAGCAGTAAGACAAGTAGAAGTTTGGAATGGCCACAGTGTGATTTAAGAGTGTTTTTACAACTTAGATACTAAAGATTGTATTTTATGATTTCTGGGGCTGAGTCAAATTTAAGATTTTCTCGCCCACATTTTCTTAATACCAATGTTTTATATAGGTTCCTGTAATGTCTTCACTATTGTGATCCTTTAGTTAAACAGAGAGAATAAACCACGGGAAATCTAAAATTTTCTGAGTATTATGGGATTCCTAAAGGCCACCATAAAAATATTCTGACTCTCAAATAAGTCACATAACTTTTGTTGATGAACATTTAGAAAAATGTTTGGAAAACAATTTGGAAAAATGCGGGGAGGGGTTTATTCTTGTTTGAATTACTACTTTTGGATGTGTTAAACAAAGTTCACAACCTTGTCAACAAACTGACCACTTTTCATGTATTGTAGCTGGTTCCCTATCTTCAGTCAAATCTCACAGGATTCCAGAATTTAGAAATCCTAAACTTCAGAAATGGCAGCATTGTGGTGAATAGTCGAATGAAGTTTGCCAAGTCTATCCCCCCTAATGTCAACAATGCTGTTTACATGATCCTGGAAGACTTCTGCATCACTGCCTACCAAACAATGAACTTGGCTATTGATAAATACTCACTTGATGTGGAATCAGGTAATGATGTTGAGTACAATGGTAGCCTCTTCGTAGAATCCAATTAGTTTCATGGGATCTATTATTGTTATATGTTCTACACCGAGTCAGGGTGAATTCTATATTTGTAGAACAAAGAGCAATAAGTCAGGCAGATTTTCCACATCTTGATAATTAGTCAAATATTCTGATATCCCTTACCCAAATCCCAATCAGCATTATCACTGTATCACTGTATCACTGTCATCCCCTGGTCATCGATTTGTTTGAGCGGGTGCCAGTGAAGTCTCCATTCCCCCCAGCCCTGAAATTTTAGCAGCCTCTCCTTACTCGTCCTTCCCAATGGTGCCATTTTGAAGGCTCTTTTAGGGTAAGGGGAATGAAACCCATTACTGTTACTGTTTTTGACATATTGAATACGCCGTGGGGAGCTTACCAGGCTCTGCTGTATTAGCAATATGTAATCCCATTATTTGACTTCATGGAACTCTATCCTCTATCTGGAGAAGCTTGTTTTCTTTTCTCTTTTTATTCTTAGGGTTTTTTTTTATTTTAGGGCTGGAGCGATAGCACAGCGGGTAGGGCGTTTGCCTTGCACGCAGCCAACATGGCCGACCCGAGTTCGATTCCTCCGCCCCTCTCGGAGAGCCCGGCAAGCTACCGAGAGTATCTCGCCCGCACGGCAGAGCCTGGCAAGCTCCCCGTGACGTATTCGATATGCCAAACACAGTAACAACAAAGTCTCCAATGGAGACGTTACTGGGCCCGCTCGAGCAAATCGATGATCAACGGGAGGGCCTTTACTTCACTTACTTTTTTTATTTTGGAGCCACACCCAGCAGTGCTTAGGGACATTCCCAGAACTGTACTGGGCTGTCCCTTCTGTCAGTGCTTAGAGGACCAAATTGGGCCAGGGACCAAACTGGGGTCAGCTACATGCAAGGATAATAAGTGATGATGATCACTTAATCCTTGTATGCCTCTCTAGTATCTCTCTTAATAAATTTTTTTACTTCACTACAAAAAAGTTCATTCAAAAGTTAGTATCATTATTGAAATCCAAGCACAAAAATTTCTAAGTCTACAACTGTACCTCATGGTGTTTCACTAATAAAAATTTTTAAAAAAGCAAACTAACCATTGCTCTTGAGTAAGAAACTCTTACATTCATGCATGCAAGACATTAAACAAAAAGTGCAGTAAAAAAAGTTAGTATCATTCATTTTCTAAAGAATTACTCACACATATTGCAACTTGTTTACCTCCCATTCCCTTTTCCATCTCTTCTATCTGGCTTTCTCTTTCACTACTCCACTGGATTTGTTCTTGCTACATTTATATGTTAACAAACCTAATATATTCTGACTCTTACAATTTATGTGTAGTTTTCCTATTTCTATCTCATTAAATCATATAAATATCAACATTATCAATATCTATCTTTTTTGTTTTTTAAAAAATTGTAGTTTCAATAAAATGGTTACAATAGTGTTAGAATTTTCATTTATGATTTACAAGGTTATTGCATCACTCTCAAAGTTCCCACTACACTCTTCCACTTTCCTGTGAAAAATATATAATTATTATAGAGTAGACTGTGTATTTGCAACAGTGTTAACATTTCTGGTTTTTGTATATACGGTTATCTTACTTAAACATCACGAAAAAGTGCTCAAAACTCTCCATCAGTGCTCTTACATTACTTTTAGTCTACCTCATCAGTACTTCCATATCCTTCCCAAGACTGACACTTTTAGTTCTATAACCCAGGACAAAGGGTTTTTAATTATTTTATATTGTCAATTCCCTTGTTTTGCATTTTTATATATCACAAATGAGAGAGAGATGAACTGATATTTGTCATCCCTCTAACTTATTTTTCTTAACATGATGCCCTCCAGTTCCATAAATCGCAGTGAGCAGCATTGTTTCATTTTTTTTTTCTTGCTGCATATATATATGTACCACAACTTTCTCACTTGTCTGTTGTTGTACATTTTGATTGTTTCTCAATCCTAGCTGTTATACTAAGTGATGCAATGAACACACATCTTTTTAAAAAATATTTTTTGTGTATGTTTGGGGGCTAGATATCAAACTAGAATTGCTGGATCATATGGGAGTTCTATTCTTAGCTTTTGTGAGAATTCTCCATTCTGTTTTCTAGATGTTGAACTCGACAACATGCCCACTATCAATGGATGAGGGTTCTTTTATCAACACATCCCTGCAACACTGGTTATTTCTAGTCTTTTCGATCTATGCCATTCTCACTGATGTGAGATGATGTGCCATTGTCATTTTGATTTACATTTCCCTGATAATAAGTGATGATGATCACTTTTTTCACATGCCTGCCAACTATCTATGTCTTCTTTGGGAAAAGTGTCTCTTCATTCCCCCCCCCCCCCATCTTCTGCCTTTTTTGATTGGCTGTTTAGTTTCCTTTCTTCTGAGCTTTTATGTATTTTGGATATTAACCCTTTATTTGTTGTATTGTATGTAGATATCTTCTCCCATTCCTCACACATGCAAGGCATGCACTTTACTGTTGAGCTATATCCCTGCCCCTAGTATCAGTATATTTTTATATGCAGGCCAGATTTATCTTCTGAATTCCAGCATCAATATCTAATTGTGGACTTGCTGATCTCCATTCAGATGCATTCTACATATATCACACATAAGATGTCTAAGAGAAAGAGCTCTTGTTTCCTAGATCTCCTCCACTTTCTACCTAAATCTCACTGTCTCCTACTGACATGGGAGCTGATTATATCAGCAGCTTAAGTCAGAAAACTAGGAAGCCATTTGCGTATCTCAGTTTCTGTAGAGCTCAACTTTCAATCACTTACCAAATTTATGCTGATTCCTAATTCTAAATATATCTCAAATCTATTATTTTTTTCACAGCTACTCCTCTTGGTCAGCCCACCCATATCTTTCCTTTGGACCAGCTTTTCCACTACCTCTCACCTCTCCAACCCTGCTTATCCATTCTCCAGAAGAAAGCAGGGCAGGGGGTACTCTCTATAAAATATCAATAAATATCAAATATCTGTATTTTCCTACTTTAAATTCAGCAGCCATAGGATTGGTACTTCTTCTTCCTAATATCATCTAATAAAATGAATTTCTTTGATCACTGTGTTCTAGTCAAATTAATTTTTATTGATTGAATATTTACTTTTTGGAACACATTTTGTGGTCAGGGTTTACTCCTGGCTCTGCACTCAGGAATCACTCCTTGCACGGCTTGGGGACCATTGGGGTGCAAAGGATTGAACCAGGTCAGCTATGTAAAAGCAAGTTTTCTACCCATTGTACTATACTTCCAGCCCTGAAACTATTTTTTCATTTCTTAGATCCAAAACACTTCCTTGAAGCTCCTGCATACTATGCCATTTGTCTGAAGCTTTCTTCCCTCTTACCTGACTTTACTCATGCTATGCCTTAGTTCAAATATCTGTTTTTTCTTTTTTTTTTTTTGCTTTTTGGGTCACACCCGGCGATGCTCAGGGGTTACTCCTGGCTTTGCACTCAGGAGTCACTCCTGGCGGTGCTCGGGGTACAAGACTTTCACTTACCCATGATATATATTGAGTTTCTCTTAGAAGTTTTTTATGTACCATCATATTCTGTCTATAAAGTTTATAACCATTGTAGTATGCTCATATATATATATATTTATATATAGATACTGATGGCCTTTTCTCTGGTTGAACTGTCCATAAGGACTGAGAGTGTTTATTTTGTCACTTTCTAGCCAGAATCTAGTACTATGTCCATGAAAGATCCTAAAAATACTGTGACTGAATGAAATAAACCCTCAGTTTTTTGTTGGCAGGCTTAGATATAAACAATACACTTGGATTCTCAAACTTTATTCTTTTCATAATCAGGACAGTGACTGTGAGTAGGAGTGAGGTTGAATGTCTAGGTACATTTTTCTCTAGTTCTTTTACCCTTAAATTGGTTTGAAGCCAGCCCTATTCTTTAACTAGGAAATAATGCAAACATTCTTTCCTTTGAAAATCCTTGAAGGGCTATTATTCATTCAAAGTGAGGAAAATGATTTAGCGAGTCCCAAAATATTCAAATCTCTTGCCACTCCAGTTCACTAAGGTGATTTTTACATTCTTTACCATGTGTTGTAGTGGAAAAAGCAATTGATTTTAATTTGAATGTCTTGATTTTTTGCCCTTGTTCTGAAATTTATCATTTATGTGACACAGATGAGCCATTTTATCTGAGTCTAGGTCCCTCATGCATTAAAATGAGAAATTACTTGGAGTTGGAGAGATAGTACAGCAGATATGCAACCAGTATTCAATTCCTGCCTCCCATATGGTCCCCTGACCACTTCCAGAAGTGATTTCTGACCACAGAGTCAGGATTTACCCCTGAGCATAACTGGGTATGGCCCCAACAAAAACAAACAAAGGGATATATCTAACCTGTGTGTTTCAAGGGTCTATTTATTTTTTTTAAATTTTATTTTTATAAAGTTGTTCACTATAATTTGTTACATTTAATATTTCAACACCAATCCCACCACCATTTCACCTACCCAACACCATATTTCAAATGTTTCCACCCTGATCCTCAAACCCTGATCCCCAAACCTAAATAATGTATTTTGTATTGCTTATTCTGAATAATCCACTAAAAATTATACAAAAAATTTCCTTATAGGAAAGTGTGTTAAGATGGTTCTATTTCACCCTGGATCCATTAAGCCCTAACATGTTAAAGGTTGAACCATATATAGCACCGTAGCACTGTCCTCCTATTGTTCATCAGTTTGCTGGAGTGGGCACCAGTAATGCCTCCATTATGAGACTTGTTGTTACTGTTTTGTATTCATATTGAATATGCCACGGGTAGCTTGCCAGGCTCTGCCGTGCAGGCGGGATATTCTCAGTAGCTTGCCAGACTCTCTGAGAGGGACAGAGGAATCGAACCCAGGTCGGCTGCATGTAAGCCAAACACCCTCCCTGCTGTGCTATCACTCCAGCCCATACACACACATATACATATATGTAAATATATATATGTGTGTATATATATATATATACACGTATATATTTTTTCTCCCTAAGATGGGTTGCCTTCCGCTTTACACCCCATCAAATATGGTGTGCTACTCTTGGTACATCAGTGGTATAGAGTATGAGATGTGGTGTGGCTGCATTTGTGCCTGTGTGTTCCAGGGATTCTAAAATGTTAAATACGGTGATACAGCTGAAGTTAATTTTTTTTTAACTGAATGGTGACTTTGGGGTCTGGAGGCATCTCTGCAGCATGTTGCTCTTGTGTTGCTCCCTTCCAAGAGATTTATTTGTGAGTCTCTAGATCGTGACCATTAATGAGCTTATATGGTGCCAGAGGCAGTTCCTGGGCATGTTTGCCAGGCTGTCAGAAGCACAGGGAGATGGGAGGAGGTCACTCATTCCCAAGTCCATGTGAGATTGGAGATTCCAGTCACACATCCCTCATACCTTGGTTTTTTCAGCAGATTCACTCATGGATGAGGCTTTTCTGAGCCTGTGGAGATCGGCTGAGGACATGGCAGTGATTGAGTTCTGGAGATTTTTAGCTGCTGGGGCTCTGTTGGGGTGGGAAAGGGAACTCACCTGCCCCCTTCCAGACCCATGGCATATTAGATATGCCAAAAACAGTAACACCAACTCTCACAATGGAGACATTACTGATGCCCACTCGAGCAAATTGATGAACAAGAGGATGACAGTGCTTCAGTGCAGTGCTATTTTAAAGAGTAAACAAATAGCACATGAAGATATTTGTGAAACTAAACAAATATAAGAAGGTATTACAAACGAAAGAACTATTGCAAAAGTCTTTGAAGAGTACAATAAACAAATAATATTTATTTTTAAAAATTTTGTACGTAACTCATATGGCAAATCATCCAGGTTTTTCTTTAATGTTCAATTTTCTTGGCATTAGCCTCTTCAGGTGCAGTGTAAACTTATAGTCATGACTAACCTATTTTAAATATCTATAGGGTTACCAGGGAATTTATTTTTTCTCATAGGTGACATACCAAAAGGAACTCAGGGGTCCCCCGGGGACCATTACTGCCTGTGCTTTGCTATGCTGTGTGGTGCTTGGATGCTTGGGTCTGGTGAAGCTCAGGAGTTACCAGGGCTGTGCCTGGAGGTGCTTATCCAAGTGTCGGGTTCAACTCAGGAGCTCACTTATTCTAGGCACGTGCCTACCACTTGAGCTCTCCAAACTTTGTCACAATCACTTCACCTCCTGCTCTGAATTATTTCCGATGAATTCCCAGTTTTACACTTTTCCTCACGCTCTTGTCATTGTTTTTTTGAATTCCTGGTTATTTTTTAAATGATCTAACACAGATTACAGACCTGTTTTATACTTCCCCAAAGCACTTGTAATACAAGTGTACATGTACCTTGTTACTAAGCTATATCCTCAGTCTCATCAATTCTTCTTTCGTGCAACTCCTATAAAACCAGAATGTAATTCTATAATTTAGATTCCTGTTTTCTATCCCAGATTTAGCTCCAGGTCTTCCTGTGTTTCCTCATAAATCATTAAGCTTTTGTTTTAAAAGGAAAATCATCTATTTCACTTTTAACCAGCATAAAGTACTGGTAGAAGACTAATTTTTATTCTATTTTATCTTTTGGTAATAAATTTTAAAATTAGTCTTTTATTTAAAGGTTGAAAAATCTGAACCTTCCTCTTTGGCCTAGAAACAAAGGAGAAGCTACATTTTCCCCCTCTTATAATTCTATTTTCCTTCTCTCATAAACTTATTCACAGCTGAAGAATGGCTTGTTTGATGTTCTAGGTGATCAAGCTGACCCTTGCAAATTCCAGGCATGCAATGAATTTTCAGAGTGTTTTGTCAACCCCTGGAGTGGGGAAGCTGAATGCAAATGCTATCCTGGATACCTGAGTGTGGAAGAATTACCCTGTCAGAGTCTCTGTGACCTGCAACCTGACTTCTGCTTGAATGATGGAAAATGTGACATTATGCCTGGCCATGGGGCCATTTGTAGGTATGTTATAGTTAAGAACATTAACTTTATGAAATAATGAGCACTTCTGAAGAAAAGGTCCTTTACTTAGAATTTCATAATAACCACAGAAAAAATATGAATGTTATACTTAGGTAAGATATTTCTCAGCATATAGTGGGTTATTATCTGATAAAACTACTATAAGTTGAATATGTTGTTAAAGATGAGCTTAGAATACCTAACATAGTCTACCTTTATATATTTACATCAACTTACATTTTTTTGTTTGCTTTTTTTGGTCATACCCAGCGTTGCTCAGAAGTTGCTCCTGGCTCTGCACCCAGGAATCACTCCTGGCAGTGCTTGGGGAACCATATGGGGTGCCGGGGATTGAACCTGGGTCGGCCACATGCAAGGCAAATGCCCTACCTGCTGTGATATCGCTCCAGCCCCATTAGCCTACATTTGAGCAAAATATTCTAACTCAAAACCTATAAGGAATTGGTTATATCATGTAATTTATTTAGTACTTGTACTGAGAAAAAATAAATTATTTTAGCTGACTTTAAAATAGGCTGGAGCAATAGCACAGCAGGTAGTGCGTTTGCCTTGCATGCGACTGACCTGGGTTTGATTCCTCCAACCCTCTCAGAGAGCCCAGCAAGCTACCAAGAATATCCTGCCTGCACGGCAGAGCCTGATAAGCTTCCCGTGGCATATTCAATATGCCAAAAACAGTAACAACAAGTCTCACAATGGAGACTTTACTGGTGCCCACTCGGGCAAATCGATGAACACAATGGGAGGAGAGTGACAGTGACTGAGAAAACCAGAATGCCCAAATTCACAATTCAAAGTATAGTTTCTAGTTAATGTCTACCAACATTGTTAGATAAAGTCCTAGGACAAGCCATCTTAAGTTGAGGACCATATATCATGGGTGCCATCTAGTTCTAAGGTAAGTAATAGGTTAATGAGTATATCAGAATTGTACCTAAATTAGTATTATTTTATTTTTAACGGGCTGGAGGGATAGCACAGCGGGTAGGGCATCTGCCTTGCACGCAGCCAACATGGCCTACCCGAGTTCGATTCCTCCGCCCCTCTCGGAGAGCCCGGCAAGCTACCGAGAGTATTCGATATGCCAGACACAGTAACAACAAAGTCTCCAATGGAGACGTTACTGGGCCCGCTCGAGCAAATCGACGATCAACGGGAGGGCCTTTACTTTACTTACTTTACTTTACTTTACTTACCCTTGTACAAAAGAAAAACAGTGTATAACAGATCTTGCTAAAAGTAGTTTGAGAACTTTGTGTTATGGTTATTACTATGGATGACAAGGCAATTGGTGCTCAAATTATTAACACTTTCTACCATATCTGAAATTGAGAAAAATGCATTGTACAGTTCTGAGTTGTATGGAGTAACATCTCCATTGTGAGACTTGTTACTGTTTTTTGGCATATCGAATATGTCACAGATAGCTTGCCAGGCTTTGCTGTGCGGGTGGGATACTCTTGGTAGCTTGACGGGCTCTCTGAGAGGGTAGAGAAATCAAACCCAGGTCAGTTGCATGCAAGGCAAATGATTTTTACTGCTTGTGTGAGTATCCATAGGTAAAGTAAAATAATTAAGCTCTTGAAAGTTGTGACAACTATACTTTATTTTAAGGACATGGTATCCTTTCTTTAAAAAAGATAGAATAAAGAAAATGCAACATACAGCTAGACTTTTGTTCCTTGCTGCTCCCTTTAGATAAAGCCAAACATATCAACCTCCCAGTTACACATAATCATATGGAAAGAGAGAAAAATACTAAATAAAAGCATAATACTAAATATAAAGTGAACTAAATAAGACAACAATTTCAGAATGAGCAAATGTTGGCTGTAGCATTGTCCTGCTATTGTTCATCGATTTGCTCGAGCAAGCACCAGTAACGTCTCCACTGTGAGACTTGTTACTGTTTTTGACATATCGAATATGTCACGGGTAGCTTGCCAGGCTTTGCTGTGTGGGTGGAATACTCTTGGTAGCTTGACGGGCTCTCTGAGAGGGATGGAGGAATCGAACCCAGGTCAGTTGCATGCAAAGCAAATGCCCTACCCGCTGTGCTATTGCTCTAGCCCAAATGTTGGCTAAGATGGAAGGAATAGATAGCAATGATAAAGACTCTTCTATGTGAAAAAGAATAAAATTTATCCGAAAAAGAGAACAATGTATTTGTATGGGGAGAATAGTCTCTGTATTTAGAGCAGTCAACCTTATTTCGATAGCCAGTGTTTTCTTCGCTGCTCTGAGAATTACAGATAGTTTTGTACAGGCCTGTGACCATGGAGTTTGGTGGATTTCTGCAGGAAGTGCAGAAGTTCTAGACTCAGTTCTTTTGTCAGCCAATTATCGTGAGCTCTTCCATTTACTCTTCTTCCTTCACAGAAATCCCTACACTTATTATACCTACTTCTCCTTTTCAGAAAAAAATGTTCATTTAGTGCTCCTATAGAAAATCTACCTTAATTAAGTAAACAAACAAAAAGCACTACCTCCTTCAGTTGTACTTATGGCTACTACTGCCCCACTTGGATCGTTCCAGCTCCTCCCCACCCCCAGAAGGTATATTTCCCACTTGTGCAAACTCCCATAAGAATATTAACTAGATTACTAGATTACATCCTGTCTGTTTGATCTGTATTTCAGAAATTGGCCATGGAGAACCACCGGGTCTGTGCCTGGCGTTATGTGCAATCTGAAATTATGTGATTAGTTAATGTGTGTGTTTACCTTTTCTTCCCTGAAGCTTTACAGTGTCAGCATTTATATCTCTGCCTTTCCCCACTCCCACCTAAGGTTCTGCTGATAATTGTTGCATTCATCAGAGTGATACAGTTTTTGGACGTGGTCCCTGCTTGTTACAGATGCCGGGTGGGTGAAAACTGGTGGTACCGAGGTGAACATTGTGAGGAGTTTGTATCTGAGCCCTTGGTGATTGGCATTGCCATCGCCTCCGTGGTTGGACTTCTCCTCATCTCGTCTGCTGTCATCTTCTTCCTTGTAAAGGCTCTTCAAGCTCAGTATATTAGGAGAGAAAGAGAGAAGCCATTCAGGTAAATAAGGAGAATTGCTCTCTTACAGAAGGCAATGTTCCTTTGCTTCATACATTTGGTATTTGTTATGTGCCAAATTTTCTATAAGAATCTGGGCAATGGTGAAAAGCTATAAAATTGACTAAAAACATGCCATTTGAGAACAAACATAAGCAGTAGTATGAATAGCATATTAAAGGACCCAGATGAGTCATGAATTTGAGTTAAAGAGAGAGAATTTTTAAAGTTTTAATGGTCATTTTATTTCTTTATTTTGTGGCAAAAACTGGTCATGCGGGGGGCAACTTTCCAGCTCAGTGCCTGTAGGTCACTCCCCCGGGTGCTTGAGGGACCTTGTGGTGCTAAAGTTAGAACCTGAACTTTCTACATCCAAATCATATACGATAACCCTTTGAGCTGTCTGCTTGGCTCTTAATGATGATAATTATTTTATTTACTGGACAGAGTTGCCAATGTATCCTGTGGTTGGGGTGGAACCCTGTATAGCAAGTTGAGTGAGTGTGAGCAAAATCAGGGAGATATATATTAATTTTGAGGCATAATAACAGCGTAGCTACATTGGGTCTAGATAGAATGCCTGTTTCAATGATGGAGGAGTTAGGAGCCCCTTTGGCTCATTCCAGTGGTCAGATTTAAAATCTTGTAAAAAAAATTCTTTTCTATTTTTTAAAAATATATAAAGTTTTTATGACAAGGAACTTAGAGCTTGCAATGGAATGTTAAAAAATATCTTTAATCTCTTCAGAGATTAATCATGTCGAGAAAATTGGACAGTCACACACACACACAAATGAAATTAGACCGCTGTCTTGCCATATGCAAAAGTTAACTTAAAATGAATGAAAAATTTATATGTAAGCCTTGAAACCATAAAATACAAAGAAGGAAACATAAGCACAATCCTCCTTGACTTCAGTCTTAGAGTTTTACTTTGGAAATTGGTTCTAGCGGCAAGAGAAACAAAGGCAAAAATTAAAAGATGGGGGGCTGGAGTGATAGCACAGTGGGTAGGGTGTTTACCTTGCACGCAGCCAACATGGCCGACACAGGTTCGATTCCCAGCATCCCATATGGTCCCCTGAGCACCACCAGGAGTAATTCCTGAGTGCATGAGCCAGGAATAACCCCTGAGCATCACCAGGTGTGACTCAAAAAGCAAAAAAAAAAATTTTTTTTTAAAAAATGGAAATATTCCAAATCAAATAGCTCTGTAGCAGGATATAGAGATTGTAGCAGCTAAGGCACTTGCTTTGCACCTGGTAGATCTGGGTTAGGTCCTTGACACCACGTATTGTCCTTTAGGCCTCAAAATCGCTTTTCAAGCCTAGGTTCTCACTTGTTCACATATCTTGCTTAAGTTTCTCTGCTTGCATATTTCCATTCTGGTGAAGTCTGTGCTCTTCTTAAACACATACTTCTCTCTTCATCTCACAGCTTTCTAAATAAGTTTTAATAAAAGCTACCTGACTTCACTGAAAAAAAAATCTGGATAAAAATCTGAAAATAAATGAAATCCGGTTCTCTGCTTCACTAAGTATAACTTCATTGATGGTGAAATAAAACCTATCTTCTTTTTGGGCTAGGAATTCAGAGATCTTTAGATTGTTAGCTATTCACAATTCATGACTGTACTTTGCTTCTGTGTTTCTTAAATCTATCAGACCAACTGCTTTCGGCAGCTGCTTCACTATCCAATTTGGTAAAGGAGATCCTCTCTGAGTTCCCTACAGCACAGCACCAGGACATACCTTCATCACTGCTCTTAGACTTTTTAATGAGTCTGACTTAGTATTAAGCTGTAATGTTATTCAGGAGAGAGGGATATCAATGAAATATTTTATATCAAGAGCATCTGGAATAATCCTAGACAATACTTAGGCTTGAATAGAATTGAGGCTCAGTTTCTTCCTGTATTTCTATTTTTACTATACTCTCTGTGTAGTTACTCACTAATTTTTGGTTTTTATACTCTTGGAATGATGACTGTATGTTTATGTATGAAATGTTATCTATTGGCAGATGTGATTCCACATCAACATTTATTGCGTGACAAATGTGGTGAAAAAGACATGGAAAAATTCTATGGGACACGATGAGAAATTGAGGAAGCAAGAATGATAATATGTGATTAGTAATGATTGGGGTTGATCTGGGCATTTCTTGTAATTTCATCTTTTGTTTCTGGTTCACCCCTTTTTCTTCCCCCAAGAAATCTTGCTGCAGGTAAATATTCCTGAAAATCTGAAGAAGTTGAATCAACCAAACTTTTTTTTTGTGGTTCTAGGAGGCAGCCTGACAACCTCGCCTCTATTGAAAATGCTGTGAAGTACAACCCCATGTATGAAAGTCACAGGGCTGGAGGTGAGCGAGTTGAGGGGCCTTATACCTCATGCCCCTTCTACAGCTATCCAGGTGGAGGGATGGTTGGTGATCTGAGCAGGGAGGAAATCAGACAAATGTATGAGAACAGTGAGCTTTCCAAAGAGGTGAGACAAGTTACTTTTCTATTACTGCTCTGTGTTGTAGCTAAAGTAGATAAAAAGTATTTTATGATGAACTTTACTGCATATTCTATTCCAGAAAATGAAATATACAATTTTGAGCTGTGCCTTACTTCCACCCAGTAGTTGGTTAGCACACACTTTATCCCTCTTTCCCCCTTCCTTAGAAGTATATATCAGTTACTTAACATAACTCATGGAGTATTCAGAAACTTCACTTCTCTGAAAAGTGAAGTCCCCCCCCCCACCCAATATCTTTCCCTTGGTTAGCTTGAAAAGCTACCTTTCCTTATAAAGATGAAAACTCCTTTGAAGAGGGTATTAAAGCTTTCCCAATGCAATGTATGGCACCTTTATCTTTTCTTAAAGGAAATTCAAGAAAGAATGAGAATATTGGAACTGTATGCCAATGATCCTGAATTCGTAGCTTTTGTGAGAGAACACCAAATGTAAGTCCTAGGAGCAGCCCCTCCCTGCCCAGGGTCTTTGCGCGTTTTATAGGGCAGTGCCACTAGAGTGAGCACATTCTTTCTGTCCCTCTGACATGGGTCCTGGTGATAACCAATGTTTATTAAGTTCTTTAGAGTTAATGAACTTCCACTACCATGACCACACTTTTTTAAAAAATATATTTTATTTTTATAAAGTAGTTCACAATAGTTCATTAATATTCAAACACCAATCCCACCACCCAGTACCTTCCCACCACAATAAGAGGGGAGTACGTGAAGATTATTATATTTCAATCTGGTGCCATTTAAGCCTGTATATATGAGAATGCAAGCAAGTGTGTTAAAATCAAACAAATGTGTGCTATTTTTGGCTAGAGTATAAGAGGTCACACGGTGGTGAACGCAGCCACCCGTTCCAGAAAATTCTGCGTTGCTCTCTTTCGGGAGCTTTGAGTTTATAGTCTCTGGATTGTGGCCATTGATGAGATTACATGGTGCCAGGGGTATTTTGTTGGTGTGACTGCCAAGCTACTGGAAAATTGGGACTTGGGAGGGGGAGGCCCAGTCCCGATCTGAGCATGCTTGGAGATCTCAGCCATGGGTCCCACATACTGGGTTTTTCTGCCAGTTCCCTCTTGGATGAGGCTCATCTGAACTGGTGGAGAGTGGTCTTGAGCATAGCGGTGGTTGTGTTCTGGAGGTTTTTGGCTGCCAGGGTTCTGCTTGGAGCAGGGAGGAAAACTCAACCCGCCCGCCTGCAAGGTGCCCCGGTGAAGACAGCCTGGAGCAGGGTCAGGACATTCGGTGGCACTCTCTTCTGGGATCCCATGACCATACTTATTCCTCATAATGGCTTATAAGTTGAGTGTTTCTTACTTTACTTTTTTATATAAATGAGGAGAGACTTAGTTGAGAAATTTATGCAAGATGGTGAAGATAGTTGAGGTCTAGCAACAAAAATGGGTCTCATCTTGTTGCCTTCTTGTTTTTTCACTTAGTTTCACTTTTTTTCTCCACACTCTGCAGGGAAGAGCTTTAATCAGCTTTCCTATTTGGAAAAGGACTGGAAGTCTAGAGAAGAAGGATCTCACTTGATATCTACAGCATATAATTAACCTGGATTTTCAAGTCTCTTAAAAGAACTTTTTTATTTTAATTAAAAAAATTAAATTTGGGGCACATGTTTTCCCGTCAGTTTTTCAGAACGTAGCAAGAGATGTGACAACCTTTTTACCTGCAAGTTTCAAAAGTCGTATGTGGAAATACAAGCCTGCACACAAGCTAGAAACTATTCTATGTGAGAAAAGTATGGCCGGAGTATGAGGACTGCTTTCATTGTCTGCTTCTGAAGCACAAAGCTTCTCTTAACAACTGCATTTCATTTCAAGCAACAAACTAAAGTGAAATGATTACAGAAGGCAAGCTAGTATTTACAAAGATAACAAAGCATGTTTGTTATTGGCAGGTGGTATGTAATGCCTTTGAAAATGATTTTAGTATTGTATACAGCCAGGTGTTCATGGGGTAAAAGAAAAAGTTTGGGGGATCACACTGCTGAAGGAAAAGGAACTTTTTGCTGTGGTGTAAAGTTAAGCTTATACTTTATACTTTTACCATAGTTTTGAATGTTCTGAGCATAGTTATCAAAATCACATTATTATTCAGTAGATAAATATTTATTTATTTTTAGCTATTAAGGACAATACATAGTGTAAAATCTAGGTTATTCATGTCAGACTAAAGATGAATTTAGTCATCTGGACAAAGAAGTTGGGAGCAGGGGTTAAGGACTCATGATTCAGACTCTACTTTGATGAGTTATTTTTTCTTTCTCTCCTTTTTAAAAAACCATCAATCCTACCACCAATATCCTGTTCCCTCCACCAATATCATCAGGTTCCTTTCCATCCTCCAGCCTGCCCCATCGGTAGGCATATAGCAAATTTGCTTCATTTTACTTGGTCCATTGAAACTTAAAGGAATGGCAAATAAAATTACCAGAAAAGAAATCAATAAAGTCAATTTTTGATGATTGATTGTGCTATGTTTTTAACCTTTCTTAGTCTAGTAGAGGATAATCCTATGTGCCATTAGTGAGTGCCATACTCAACACCACATGATGGGAAGTTTCTCTTGTATTGTCAAGGAGCTCTTTTAATGCTTCTTGCAAAACTGGTTTCAAGGCTCTGAATTCCCTAAGGTGTTGCCTGTCCATGATTATATGGCCCTAAGAACTTACTCATTTCTTCTAGGTTCTTCAATTTAAGAAGCTCTGTAGAGTTATGATAGGTTTTTAAGAAAACCTATCCAGTGTAGACAAAGGGAGATAAATTAGGTGAAGAAACAGGAAATGCTTATTGGGGTATGCTCCTGGGTGGACCCTATTCACCTATGGAGAGGTTGGGTCAAGACTTAGCCTCAGTGAGGGAGGGGAGGAATAGGGTCTAAAGTTTCTTTGGGCTTGTTATAGATAACTTATTTTCTGAGGAACGTTCCTTCCACCCCTATTTTGTTGAATGCTTTTATCATGGCTGGAATTTGGATCTTGTCAAAGGTTTTCTTTGCATCAATTGATATGATTCTGCTGTGATTTTTGTTTTTCCTCTTACTAATATGTTGTATTATGTTAATTTATTTGCATATGTCAAACCATCCTGCATCCCTGGCACGAATCCCACTTGATCTGGGTGTATGATTTTTTTTTATGTTGTTGGAATCGATTATCTAAGATTTTGTTAAGGATTTTTTTCATTGATATTCATCAGGGAGATTCATCTGAAATTTTTTTTTTCTGCAAGTGACTCTGTCTACTTTGGGTATTAGTATAATGTTACCTTCACAGACAGTGCTAAGAAGAATTCCTGTGTCTTCAATATTTTGGAAGAGCTTACGGAGTAAAGGAAGTAAATCTTCTTTGAAGTTTTTATAGAACTCACCAGTGAACTCATCTGGACTGAGACTTTTGTTCTTGGGGAGATTTTTAATTACTGTTTCAAATTTGTTACTTGTAATTGGCCAGTTTAGGCTTTCAACTTCCTCCTCATTCAATTTTGGGAGATTACATGACTCTAAGAAATTAATTTCTTCTAGGTTCTTCATTTTAAAAGCATAAAGTTGCTCATAGTAACCTCTCATTATATATTTAATTTCTGAAGGGTCCATTGTAATTTCTCCCCTTTTGTCTCTTATCTAATTTATTTGAACATTTTCTCTTTTATCCTCACAGATGCTAGCTAACAGCTAATCTTTCTTGTTTTTTTTTTTAAAGAAGCAACTCCTGGTTTCATTGATTCTTTGAATTGCTTTCTTGGTTTCTATGTTGTTGATTTCTGCTCAAGTTTTTATCATTTCACTCCTTCTACTACTTTTTGGATTTGTTTGTTGTTCCTTCTCCAGGGTTTTGAGATGCGTGTTTAGGTTATTGATTTCGGATTTTTCTTCTTTCTTTATGTTGTCCTGTATTGCTATGAAATTCCTCCTTAGTATAGCTTTTACTTTATACCCTAGGTTCTGGTAGTTTGTGTCTTCATTCTAATTAGTTTTAAGAAATCTTCTTAAGTCTTCTGCAATCCAATTATTGCTTGGTTGTGTTTTGTTTAGCTTCCATGTGTTGAAAGTTTGCACCTTCTTCTTTCTGTGGTTAATTTCTGCTTTCATGGCATAGGGGTGTAACAAGGTAGTTTGTATAATTTCTATTTTCGTAAGTTCGCATATGTTTGAGTTGTGCTCTAATATGTGATCTCTCCTGGAGAATGTTCTGTGTGCATTAGAGAAGACTGTGTATTCTTGTTTTAGAGGATGTAGAGGACTGTATATGTCCAAACAGTCCCAGTTTTTCAGCTCCTCATTTAGGACTCTTGTCTCTTTACTGATGCTCTGTCTAGTTGATCTATTTAGTGGGGAAAGTGATGTGTTGTAGTCCCCTTCTACTGTGCTTCTTTAGGTTTGTGAACAGAAGCTTTATCAACTTTGCTGAACCTTCATTTTGTTCATAAATGTTGATGACACTATTTCTTGATCTGTTGTTCCCTTGACCAATAAGTAGTATCCATAATTGTTTCTAATTACTCTTTATATAGAATGGATTGGTCTGATATAAGGATGACTGTCCCAGCTTTTTTTCTTTTTTTTTTTTTGTCTTCTGTTGACTTATAGGATCATTTTCCATACTTTCACTCACTCTAAGTCTGTATTTATCCTGAGAGTTTATATGTATTTCCTGCAGGCAGCAAATGGATGGCTTTTATTTCCTGATCCATTCAGTTACCCTATGGGAAAGTTTAGTTCACTGACATTCAGAGGTTATTGATATATTAACTGTGTTGCTGTGTGTGTGTGTGTGTGTGTGAGAGAGAGAGAGAGAGAGAGAGAGAGAGAGAGAGAGAGAGAGAGAGACAGTTGTTTTTGCAAGAGTCTTTTTTTAAGTAAGCAGAATTTTAGTAATTCTTTCAGGGTTGGTTTAGTTGTTGCAAATTCTGCCAGTTCTTGTTTGTCTGAAAAGTTTCTTATCCTTCCCTCAAGTCTAAATGATAGCAGAGTGGTAGGCAGAAAGCTTTTTTTTTCAGTCAGTACCTTGAATATGTCTTTCCTGGCTTGTAAGATTTCAAGTAGAAGGTCTATTTTGACTCGTATGTTGTTTCCCTTATATTTAAGGATTTTCTTCTATCTTGCAGTGTTAAGTAGTCTGTCTTTGTCTTTTGATTTTACTGTTTTGATTTCTATATTCTTGGTGTTCTTTTGTTTGAGTTTATTTTGTTTGATACTGTTCCATGATTCTGTGCAGAAGCCTCTCTCAAGATATCAGGAAAAATTTTAGCTGTCATATCTTTGACCAGCTGTTCTCCCCTTAATATTTTTCCTCTTCTTCTGGTATTCCTATGATTCAAAGATTATTTATTTACTATTATCTATCAAGAGTATTACATTACCTTCCATTTGCTTACATTTTTTTACTTTGTTATTGGTGATGGCTAGTATTTTTCCCTCAGTATCACTGATACAGTCCTCTGCATGTTGAATTTTGTTTCTGTGACTTTCTATTGTATATTTTAATTCCTTTATTACCATTTGTATGAACTCTAATACTCTGGATCAGTTCCTCTTTAAGTTGGTTGGATTTATCTTCCAATGATTTGTTTAGTAACATGACTATTGTATGGAGCATTGCTTTGGGTTCCTCACTGATGAGATTTGAGGTTTTATATGAGCTCAGTGATTTGCCAGAACTTTTGTCCCTGCCAGAGCAGGAGAAATCCTTTGTTTTTCCATTGCTCCAAAAGATTTATGGGTACTATGATTTGAGTTTGAGATACCAGATATCTGACGTCCGATCTAATTTATTATTTTTCAGCAAGCAGTGCTCTTTATATTCTAGTAGTCTAACAATGTCTGTGCCTGTAGGATGTTATTTCACTGGTCATGCAATTCAGTGTCTAATATATTCGTTTGTATAGAAAGGTTAAAATAGATATATTTGAGTAAATATTATAAGCCCTAAGAACTCTTGAAATTGGTGAGGATAAAAGGGCAGTGTTGGTTTTGGGTTCCGGAGGGATTTTGGATGGGCTTCCTTGGTTCCAGGAGGCCCAGGAAGAGGTCACAGATGACACGGAAGTCATGGGGTGGGATGGGGGCTGGCGCCCTTGATGGACCTGAATGAAGAAGAGGTCAGTCTCTGTTTTTCTGGGTCCTTTGGGTCATGCCCGGGGTTTCAGAAGGGTTCAGGATCGGCTTCCTTGGTCCCAGGCACCCAGGAGGAGGTTGTAGCAAACAGGTTGATTATTGATACAGATATTTTATGAGCTGCCTTCATGTTTGTTCAAAATCAATCTTCAATATTTTTGTTTCTCTTTGAACTGGTAAAATTAAGTAGGAATCGAGTTGACCATAGAATTAAATGTTGATTCACTCTGTTTTTCCCAAGTTTACAACTACCATTTCACTATTATGAAGACACCATAAACTCAGTCTCTAGACTGAGTACACAAAGTACATACCACAGTATATAACTATTGAAAACCTTCAAGATATCAAGGTTTTTTTCAAAATGTATATAGGTAACAGTGTGTGTGTGTGTGTGTGTGTGTGTGTGTGTGTGTGTGTGTGTTTGTATTCTCTGTCATTCTCTATTCAGTTTAATTTTTTTGGTGGAGGAACGGTTTTGGGCCACGTCCAGTTGTGTTTGGTGACTACTCCAAGCTCTGTGTGTGCTTATAGGTTGCTCCTTGTCTTGTGGTGCTTGGGGAATATATGTAGTACTAGGATTGAGCTGTGGTAGGCTGCATGCAAGGCAAGCTTCTTACCCCTGTACTATTCCTTTGGTTCCTACACAGTGAATTCTTTATAAGTTCAAGATAGGAACAAGCCATACGTTTCTATGGACATATTCTCTTGGACCTATTTGAAACATAATTGATAATTATCTTAAGTGTTAAAAATATTAATAACATTTGCCCGATTAATACCATTTACAACTAAGAAATTGTTGATTGCGTTTGTGTGACTTCTGAAGATTTCCTTTTGAGATTTTAAACTCCCCTCCTATACCTCTGCCTCACAAAGGCAAAAGAAAAGTTGTTTGTGTCACAAATTAACTTGAGAACAAAACCTTTTGAATGTCTTGAATGTCTGCTTGGCTGAGAAAATTCTATATGGACATTGTCATGGAACTCACAGGAGAAGCATCAAATGAGCTAAAGAGGAATCACTGTTTCCCAGAAGCCTGTGAATTGGGAATGTGAGAGTCCTGACATGTCACTTCTTTTTATTTCTGTTTGTTTGACCTTTACACCCAAGAACAAACATTTAGCTCATCATGAATATTTGCTCCACATATATTAAATGGAACGTCAGAGCCTGGCAAGCTATCCCTGGCGTATTCAATATGTCAAAAACAGTAACAATAATGGATCTCATTCCCCTGACCCTGAAAGAGCCTCCAATATGGCAGCGTTGGGAAGGACGAGTAAGGAGAAGTTGCTAAAATCTCAGGGATGGGATGAATGGAGATGTTACTGGTGCCCGCTCGAGTAAATCAATCAACAACAGGATGACAGTGATACAGTAATATTAAATGGAAAAGTAAAGGAAATTCTAAACTGTCAGGGAGAGATCTGGAGACCTCAATCCAGGAGCAAAGACTTTCAACCTACCTTTGCTGTAAGTAAACCATGTGAGAAACGGCAGGAATGCCATTTGCATGTTGAAGATTCACAGTTAGCAAAGGAAAGGGCTAAAGGAAGTATTGACAGATAAGACAAGCAGCTCTGAAAGAACTTTTTAAAAGTGCTTTCCCTGAGGTGATTTTGTGGAATAGAATCTTTTAAAAGTATTACGTTAAACTCTCATTTACACAATGTGATTAAGGAATGAAATGCTCTGATTATTAGAACATGTTCATCAATCTAACAATATGAATATTCAATAAAACTATCATCTTATTTGAAAAAATAAAATGTAATTAGTTTTGCTAGTGAATAGTAAGTAACTCAAACTGTTTTTGGTTCATCAGGTGCTTTTAATTTATAGATGGAGCTTTGTTATTAAGACTGCATATGGGTTCTGAATAAAGGTGAATTTACTTGATAATTAGGACTCCATTTCTCCATATTTTAAATGGTTATCATTCACATTTATATGGCCTCATAACCCATTTAATTTATTTAATAATACTAGTGTGAGGTTTGCTTGATTGTATTCTCTTCTCATCTTTTTTGTTTTGTTTTGTTTTATAGTAACTAGTCATCATAGGTTGGCCCAGCCCTACACCTTTTCTGACCATAGAATAAATTATAGTTATAATTGTAGCTTAATAATATTACTTATTTTTAAATTTTTTCTTTTATAAGTTAGTTCACAATATTTAATTACATTTAATATTCAAACACCAATCCCACCACTATTACACCTTCCCACCACCAAATTTGGGATGTTTCCATCCCAAACCCCAATCCCTGTTCCAAAACTAAACCGAAAGAATATATTTCATATTGTCTTTTATGAAGAACTGCTGAACATGCTTAAAAAATAGTTTTCATATAGAAAACAGTGCCAAGATTGTTCTATTTTGGCAAGAACCATTAAGACATTCTATAGGATATCACTAACATGCTGTTAAAAGTTTGGGTGATGTGAGCTTTCTTATATATATCTGAAAATATGTATATATGCATATATATTTCCCTCTATGATTTGTCGCCTATTGTCTGAACCCCATCAAATATGGTGTGGTAAT